GGGGGGAGGGGGGGGCATCCTGCTGTTTCCTTGTTCTTTTTTTCTTGTTCTTTTTTGTTCTTTTTTTCTTTTTTCTTTTTTTTTGCCGTGGGGTTTTTTGTCTTTCTCGGAAAGGCCCCAGTCAGGAGTTCAGACAGGAGAGGTGGCTCTCGCTGCTCTGCATTTCAGTCGAAGAAGTGTTGTTCTGGTGTTCTCGTTGATCAAGATGCCATAATAACACTCTTCCAACACTGTAAATAAAGAGCTATTCAAATCGGCGAAGACAGTAGGAATAAAAGAGATTCGCTTCTCACAAGCAGCTCTTCCTGAGATAGAAGAAATAAATACGTTGGAGGCAGTGAGCTGAGTTTTCTATTTAGGAAAGAAAGAACATGGGAGAAAAAAACAAAAACGTACCCAGCAAAACTCAAGCCTGTGCCAGAGCATTGCTTGGGGGGAATGACACCGATTTCCTTCAGTGCCTTTTGGAAAAAATACTAAATTATCCTAAAAGGAGAGATAGTAACATCTATGACAGAGTGTGGGGCCTTGATCAGACACCAAAGGGGGAAACAGACAAACGTACACTTACTACTTAGCACACAGATAATACATATTTTTTCTGACTACGCCAACTACGGGAAAATATTTCTAGAAGTGCCCCCCCCCCCGCCGCCCCCTCCCCAGCTCACTTATCTGGACAGCTGGTATTTTACTTGGGTGTGCTTCCTAAGCCAGGAAACTTCACCACATTTTTGTTAGCAGGCTTCTTGAAAAATAAAATTACGTATTAAGTAGTTTGCACAGTTTGCCTACCCGTGCTTCTCATTTTAGGTCATAGCTTGAGGGTAGGGATGGGATCTTCCAGGTTTCACGTTATTTTAAGCTGTGGTTAAAAGTGTAAGATTCCCAGCTGAGCTATTGCCTGCTTGTGTGCGTGTGTTTGGTGCGCTGTGCGTTCGGAGGAGAAGTCATTTTTGCCCTGATTTGTGGGGACTGCACAGGGACGCGGCTTGGGCATTCGCAATTTCCAAAAAACCCTCATTTTTATTTCAAAATGGGATTCTCCCCTGCTCTGCTCGAAGCAATATTGAAAGGCAGCAGAGCGTGGATACATTCGTGTGTGTGTGTGTGTGTGTGTGTGTGTGTGTGCATTTAAAAAAAAATACTTGTTGATTAGAGCTCTTCTTTCCTCCCTCTCCCCCCACCCCTCCGCTCTCTTTGTGTGCCACTGCCCGGTAGGCACCCGTTGTTCCCCCTCTTAGCTCTGGTCTTTGAGAAGTGCGAGCTGGCGACCTGCACGCCCCGGGAGCCCGGCGTGGCCGGCGGGGATGTCTGCTCCTCCGACTCCTTCAACGAGGACATCGCCGTCTTCGCCAAGCAGGTCCGGCACTGCTCCCCCCGCCCCGGCCCTTCC